CTCTTTCTGAGAATGTACCTAATACCTGATGATCTGAGGTGAAGCAGTTTCCTCCCAAAACCATACGCCTTCCGCCCAGTCTGTGGAAAAAAATGGTCTTCCCTGGAACCGGTCCCTGGTGCCAAAAAGGTTGTGGACCACTGCCTTATTTAACTTAACATATTCAAAATACCACTTCATTGTGAAATCAGCACATAATTATTAGTCACCGATTTTGCGCTGTTTTTCTAAGTCTCTGAAATCAGAGTGAATTCTATTTACAGTGCATCTCAATTCAAATGCCACATTTTCATTGTAAATACTTGATCTGTATTTTTGTTTTATAAAAAGTACAGTCACATACTCACAATGTTCCAAATATACTTAAAGATTTTCCAGTAACTCGTCGAATATCAGTTTTCAAATTTAAATATAAATAAACCATAATAAAATCAATTGAAAAATTCATTCCCGGTGTCACACTAACCACATCTCAAAGGCTCATGAGCCACATGGAGTAGTGTCTAATTTTTTGGAGAGCCCTGATTTAGAACTTTCAACAGATTTAAACAGGGGTCTATACCAACAGTAAAAAAACTGTGTAAACCTCACCATATTGAATATTTCTTAGGAAAATTCGCTTTTCTGAATTAAAAAATAATTATTTCCAATTGATTGAAAGAACAGTACATTCTTGAGAACACATGTGCACACGTGCGGAACAGCACACACTGGGTCCTGTCAGAGGGTGGAGGTGGGAGGAGGGAGAGCCTCAGGAAGAATAGCTAATGGATGCTGGGCTTAATACCTAGGTGATGGGATGATCTGTGCAGCCAACCACCATGGCACATGTTTGCCCATGTAACAAACCTACATATCCTGCACATGTACCACTGAACTTAAAATAAAAGTTGAAGAAAAAAAAAAGAACAGTATATTCTTTTGGCAAAGTCAGGCTTTTCAAGACACGTTTATGAACTAGAGGCGTGTGAGGGTCCCACGCTAGCAGCAGCAGGGAGATACTACGGTTGTGTTTAGTTGCTCTCAGGCAGCAAGACTTCAAGTACCTAAAAATATCCACAGACAACACCATTTCAATACTAACCAAAACTTTTAACAACAACAAATAAAATTTAGAGACCTTATACAAAATTGGCAACTGTTTAATTATGTCTAAATAGAAGTGTTAAAAAACAAAAATTATTGTTGAGATAGTATCATCATTGTTTCAAAAAAGAAAGGTGGCTGGGGTGAGGAAGCAGTGGGACTCCCATCCAAAATAGTAGTAGGAATTTGTTGTCAGACAAAAGAGAGTTTTTCCTTAGAAAGTTCTGCTGCCAAACTTATATTGACAACATCATTCTTATTGCTTTATTTTTCTAAAACTTCATAGCAGAACAAGACTGCTACCGAAAAGGCCTGTGAGGGCCTACAATTTAAAGGGGTATTTTTCCATCTGAGTACCTGACATCTTAGAGGGTTGGGAAATCAATTAATGAGTCCAAATAAATATTACGGTTTTAAATAAAAAGTAACTGAAATCGCGCCAAAAAGGAAAAAGAGAGTGAGAGAGAACAAACAAACAAACAACAAAAGGAAGAAGAAGGAGAAGGAGGAGGAGGAGGAGGAAGAGAAGGAGAAGCAGGAGAAGAAGAAAAAAAAAAGAAAAAAGACTAAAATTTGTTCCATGAAATTCTTTTTTGAGTTCTGTGGGTGTGAATCTTTATTAGGTCACTTGTAAAATGTTCTTATTATAGGCCCTAGCCAGATTATTGAGAAAAACACTGGTGTAGAGATAAGCACGATAAAATCCTACTTTCAGGTGACTTACAATTTTCATCCTGAGTACCATTAACAAACTTAATGAGCGAATGTAGGCCCATCAATTAATCTTTCCTTCCTCCACTTACTTTTCACTCATAAAATGGGTGTGAACCTCCTCTGGCAAATGAAAGAAATGTGAAGCCTTATAGTATGGTCTTTAAAGGGCCAAATAAACATGAGAGCTTACTGTAAGTCTCAAACAGCTTACATTTCCACCAATTATGACAGTGAATGACTTGGCATCCATGGGCTACTCAAAGTCTCACCAGCAATCCCCTCTTCAGTTTGGGTTTAGGATAAACAAAGGCTACCTTGATGGCTTATTGGAATATCTGACTTTATTTCTCTATTATGTCTAAAATCAAAATTCACAAATCATGTATTTTCCATGTCTATTATCACTGTGATTAACATCTTCAGACATCCTACCAGATGTATCAGGCTGGAAATATAACAGGTGACATAGTGACAACATATGTTTTAATATGTAAAGCACGTTGTCAGAGAGGAAACTTTCCCCGGTGTTAAGCAAGAAAAACTCTAAGGAATGATTTTAAATCTGAACCACACTTGAGTGGAAGGCAGTGGAAGAGACAAGCATTCACTGGGAGCATTGAAAGAGCTCAGACTTTTTCATTCTATGAGCCTTGCTTTTCCTCCAAGTCCTTGCAGGCTGATTCAGAGAAAAAATGCTTTAATAAGTGTATGCCTTATCTTTGTTTACTCTAAATGATGGCATTTTCTTTTTTAAAATTTTTTATTTGTATAAATGTATGGAGTCAAAATGCAATTTTGTTACATGGATATACTGTACAGTGATGAAGCCAGAGATTTTAGTGGGCACATCACTGGACTAACATACTTTGTACTTCTTAAGTAATTCTCATTCCTTACTCTCCGCCATCTCCCCACCCTTCTGAGTATCCACCGTCTATCATTCCACACTCTTATGTCCATGTGGACACATCATTTAGCTCCCACTTATAAGTGAGAGTATTCAATATTTGTCTTTCTGTTTCTGAGTTGTTTCACTTAAGATAATGGCCTCTGATTCCATCCATGTTGCTGCAGAAGACAAAGTTTTATTCTTTTCCATGGCTGAATAGTTTCCTATTGTGTGCGTGTGCGTACATACATATATAGATATGTATGTATAATTTTGCTTATCTAGTCATTCATTGATGGACACTTAGGTTGATTCCATATCTTTGTTATTGTGAATTGTGTATTGTGAATTGTGCTGCGATAAACATGCAAGTGCAGGTATGTTTTTGATGTGATTTCTTTTCTTTTGGGTTGATACCCAAAAGTGGGATTGCTGGATCAAATGATTGTTCTATCTTTAGTTCTTTGAGAAATTTCCATGCTGTTTTCATAGAAACTGAACTGATTTGCATTCCTTCTCACAGTGTATACGAGTTCCCTTTTACCCGTGTCCTTGCTAGCATCTGTTATTTTTTGTCTTTTCAATAACAGCCATTCTGACTGGAGTAAGATGATGCCTCATTGTGGTTTTACTTCGCATTTCTCTCATGGTTAGTGATGATGAGCATTTTGTCATATGCCTTTTGGCCATTTTGTCCTCTTTTGAAAAATGTTTATTCATTTCCTTTGCCCACTTTTCATGGGATTATTTATTGTTGTTTGTTGTTGTTGTTTGAGTTCCTTGTAAATTCTGGATATTCGTCCCCTGTGCACAGTTTGCAAATATTTTTTTCCATTCTGCACATTGTCTGTCAACTCTGTTGATTGTTTCCTCCTCTGTACAGAAGATCTTTCATTTAATTAAATCCCATTTGCAATGTTTCATAAAGCATTTCCTAAACTGAAGAAAGTTATTTGTCTCTTCTGATCCAGTTCAAGCCCCTTGATTTCACTGTGAGAAAAGTGAGTGCTGGGCAGGCGAAGGCCATCCAGTTAATAAATTCCTGAGCCAGAAGTCAACTGGGATCTACTCCCTGTAGCTCACTGACGTCCTGAATCCAAAAGGGGAGAGAATGCCCTATTAGCAAGTTTCCTTCTTATTCTTACTAAACTCTCCTTGGGGGACTGAATCCATACACTGATGATAAAACCAAAAGAAGTGAGCAAATACAGCAACCTGAAATCAATGTGGAGAGAGCAGGGAAAGGAGAATTCATCCTCTCGGAAGGCTCAAATGTGCTGTTTAGACAGCTCTGCACTCACCATGGCCGTGGCTGTGGTCTTGCGACCTTTCAGTGGCATCTCTGAAAGCAGTCTGACCCTGAGTTGTCAAGGATTTTGGCTTCTATCTTCTCTTATCTTCAAAGGCATTTTCACTAAGAATTTCCACCCCAAATTTTGGAATCCTTGTAAACATCTCATCTATTTCCGCCCTTTGCTTTGGTAACTTGGAATATATTTGTGCCAGTAACAATCTCACAAAATATCAAGGGGGAAAGCAGGAGATTATTTTCTGTCCAAACTCTGTGTGTTGGAAAGCAGTTTGCTCCCTCTGAAAGTAACCATGACTAATGCAATGCTCTGATAAAAGCTGTCCTCCTGGGAATACTTCAGAAGGATCACAGCCTTTAGAGCCATAAAACCTGTCTGGCCGAGAGATATGCAGACATGGTGTTATTTCTATTTGCTCATGACCAGAATTGGACCGGCCACTCCTTTTGAAATGAAGTTCATCAGTGTCTACAACCTAACATTATCACTTAAATGTCAAAAGTGAAAATTTTCTTTTTGTTCCAAAACTATTAGGAATTGCAGGCAGAAATGTGATAAAGGTTTGAAAGCAGGAAAATATAACAAAGAAACATCAACAACAACAGAGGAAATTATGAAGCATTTGCCTATGGTGCTACCTGGTTTGACTTCAGAGGTGGAAAAAGTCTAATTTTTCTCTATTGGTCAGTAGTCATTTTAATTTAATTTAATTTAATTTAATTTATTTAATTTTATTTTTTGAGACAGAGTCTTGCTCTGTTGCCTAGGCTGGAGAGCAGTGCCATAATCTTGGCTCACTGCAACTTCTGCTTCCCGGGCTCAAGCTATTCTCCCGCCTCAGCCTCCTGAGTAGCTAGGACTACAGATGCATCTCACCACGCCTGGCTAATTTTTGTATTTTTAGTAGAGATGGGGTTTCACCATGTTGGCCAGGCTGGTCTTGAACTCCTGACCTCCTGACCTCAAGTGATCTGCCTGCCTCAGCCTTGCAAAGTGGTGGGGTTACAGGTGTGAGCCACCGCGCCCAGCCCATCTTTTATAATAATAACCTGTTGGTGATGTGCCGTCCCTTCAGCTTGTTACATTTGCTTTTAGGCTTCCTTTTTTTTTTTCCTTATGGTATTATAATAAATAAGACGCAAATATAATTCAAAGGATTTTTAAAAGTCTCTTCTTCTATCTCTTTGCTCTCCAGAGTGCAAAAATCCAAACAAGTAAAAGTTCACATTTTTAACGCATGTGCTTACAAACCAACTATATCTACTCTTCAACAAAAACAGTTTTTATTCAACAACATACCTGATATTTTTCCAGGTGGACTTGTTTAGGTAAAATTAATATAAAGCTTCAACCCGCTCATCTAGAAAATGGGAATCTTATCTCTATACATAATGGTTGGGTGGGTTATGCCTGGCACAAATTCATAGGTTTGTTTATTGTCATTATGGAGGAAAAGAGTGCAGTACACACGTAACGATTAACTGCCCCATTTCTGCTATTCCTTGTTAATGAGGTTATATTTTGTAGAAAATAGGTACAACATGTATTCCATAAATGCTATTCAAATCAGTCCTTAAGTCATTGCTTCTTTGTCTTCTATTTGCCCTACTATATAAAACCATATATACTGAATAAAAGTACATGCCAGTTGATGAATACTTATTTCAAACTTGCACACTCATTCCCCTTTGCTAAGAGATGTCTAAAAGCTTTCTGCAATACGCACTAGAAGATTCAAACCTCAGTCACTGAAGGAATACTTAAGGCATCATGGCCTGAAGGCTCTGTGATTGTCTAATTCATTAATACATCCCTGCCCTCTTTCCTAGAGCTGTATTTTTTTGTACATTTAAGTCTTTTACCCAGAATAACATAGTAATGCTATACAAAGAATGATGTATGCTCACTTGAGAAAATACTAGTTGGATTTCGAAAACAGAAACAGAAATAGCTGGAGTTCCAAAGTAGAAATCTATTCACATTGCGGTCTGTGTAGACTCTTATTTTCTCCTTCGCGTAAGTCTTGTTTTTACATGTTTCCCCTTTCCTCATGCCTGCGCTGTGGCTAATATAGTAACTGTTCATCTAATGTAGCATATCAGGGGAGAGGCAGGGAGGGAAATTACTGATTATAAATATCCCCAAAGCATACTGCTTTATAAAAATGTAGGTCCTCCCCGTCTGGATATAAAAATCCTCTGCATGGGTAAAAAAAAAAAATTGAAAACTGCAGCCCTCTGCTCTGCTGGCCCTAAGTCCTGGCAAGAACATGTCGGTGTCTCTGGGAACTGCTGAGGCTGAAGGAAGGATCTGTTACCAGCTCAGCTCCCTCTCCCACTGACCCCATGCCGGCGGACAAGTCCCTTGAACAGATTGTGCCAGTCTGATGCCAGCTAATTGCCTTTCAATTCCTGTTTCTGCAGATCCCCTGCTTCCTGTGGGACTGCGGGCTGCACACATTCCTGCCCCAAGCTCAAGAGCATAGCGCCGGGACGTCGGGAAACCGTCCACCCTTCGCAACCTGCCGTGTCAACTCCCAGCAAGCTCAAGCTGCAGTTTACCCTGGTTAAGGATTGTTTAAACAAAGGCTTGAACAGAATGATGTTGACTGTTTTACAATGAAAACTAATAGTTTTAGCTTAATCCACATGCCAGTTCTGGATCATTTGCAACACTTCTTACAATTATTGATGTTCTTCCCAACATCCATTTCATGCTCAACTGGGCTTCTAGATGATTTTAAAGTTTTGGGTTATTTTGCTTTGTTTGGTTTTGTTCCCTTGAAAAGAAGACGGTTTGACTTGTGGAAAAGACATATTGCTATGCAAATAGACACAGAATAAATGAAAGAGCCACTCAGACAACCCGTTTGCCTCTTTCCTTAGACTTCCAATTTGACTCCTCTCCAATGAAAAAGGATTGAGAAAGACTGCTTGTGGGGGTCACAGGAGTTCCAGGGGGCTGCTAGGGAGCCAGCTCTGCAAGGTTGATGCAGGGAACAAGTTGGCACATGCTGTTTTATGTCATGGAAGAGTGACAACCACCAAGGAGCCTTTCTATCGAGCCAGTTATCAACCCGTAAGGAATGACGTGCACAGGGCACCGCTTACCTCAAGCCAGCATCTCAACTCCCGTGTGCAGAAGTCCGGTTATGATCATCCAGGAGATGAGAAGACAAGCTGAAGCTACAAGGCGTGTTCCTGTGGGCTCATCTAGGCAGCACAGCTTGAGCATAGGGCAGATCTTCAGAGTATACAGCTCAACGGAAGAAGGTACGGGCTGCTCCTGTGGACCGAAGACGGGAGAAGGGCAGGAACAGAGCATCAGGAGAGGTGCCATTCCCCCAACTCTGTCCTGGGGTGACGGCAGTGGCTGGCCTAGTGTCTGAGTCTGTGCCATTCTCCTTTTGCCACTGTGTTCCTCGTCTGACACTCCAGCACAAAGAGTGATTCCCTGCTTTTAAGCCATGGCTTCCCATGAGGTTGGATCCAGAGGTGCCTGCTATAGGGACACCAGGTTCTGGGCATCAGAAGTGGGTTCTCAAAGCTCTGCAGACTGGGTGCTTTCAAACCACAGCCAGGCACTGCTGGTGATATGAACACAGACACAAAGCCATCACCACTAAGAATCATTTTATACCTGTAAAATGGCTTTGCCTGGCAGTGGCTTTGCCCGGCAGTGGCTCATGTGGGAGGGGCCTCTATAGAGGGGCTCTGAGGACCAACTTGTGAATATCAATTATTTGTGTTCTTCTCATACTTCTTACTCTGCCTTCAGGTACAAGTAGAGATTAGCCAAATGCTTTAGGACCTACAGAGTTTGGAATTTGTTCCCAAATGCTGAAAACATAACGTGAACTTTGGGATCTTCGGGACAAAAAATAAGACTTTTAAAATGTGATGCTTTTTCTTTCCTCCTACTCAAAAAGTTATAAATCATAGGAATGAGTTAATTTTTCAAAGATGTTCATTGCTTTTTGTGTGGGGGAGGTGCCTGATGAAATATGCTGGCCCATAGTGCTTCCAGAGGAGGAAGTATAGAGACAGGTTCCTGTAGAGGACGTCAGCCTTGAGCATTTGATTTTCACCAGCAAAATATAATGAGGTGTAAAGGATTCAGTTTATCTTTGTCACTTCCCTCTAGACTTTTGTTTATCCTTGGTGACCCATGGGTTACTTGAAACACTATACCAACATCTTTGGTCTTTATATATGCACAGATTATAAACCAAGTTCTTGCATGTATCATCATTCTGGATAATTAAACAACATACACATGTATGCTTTCTATGTATTAAATTTTCTATTTGTGTGAAGTATATATATAAAATTCAAGAAAGATAAAATTAAGGTTTCTAATGTGTTATAAAAACGGGAACTTCACAGCCCACTTTGGAAAATTGGCCCGACTCTTCCATGTGATTATGGCATGAATCAGTATTTTCCTTGACATTTATTTACTTTAGGTTACCAAAACTATCTTTTGAAACTGTGGGGACACTACTTTGATTTCACTTTTCTATTACTTATTACAATTTCTGTATTCCTAAATATGCATATTTTTGCTATATATATATTTTTTTTTTTTTTTTTTTTTGAGACAGAGTCTCGCTCTGTCTCCCAGGTTGGAGTGCAGTGGCGCGATCTTGGCCCACTGCAAGCTCCGCTTCCCAGGTTCATGCCATTCTCCTGCCTCAGCCTCCCAAAAAGCTGGGACTACAAGCCTTCGTCACCAGGCTTGGTTAATTTTTGTATTTTTTTTTTTTAGTAGAGACAGGGTTTCACCGTGTTGGCCAGGATGGTCTTGATCTCCTGACCTCGTGATCCGCCCACTTCAGCCTCCCAAAGTGCTGGGATTACAGGCGTGAGCCACCGCGCCCGGCCGCTATATTTTTATTCTACTTTAAAGGAATGTGTAAGTCAAGCCCCAGGATGATGATTTGATTTTAAAAAAGGTTTGCATTAAGTATATAGAGATTTATTTTCAAAGCTAGTTCAATTTGGTGTGTGCAGTTTGAAGAAACTGCAATTCATGTGTTGCCCCACTGTGAGGGAAAATGGTAACTACACATTTTGTAGGTTTTGACCAGCAATTTAAAAAATTTTTTTAAAAAAATTATGAGCAATTTTAGCAGGTGTAATTTTTCAGATGACAAATAATCACATTCAAAAACATCATTTAAATTATAGATAGAATTGTGCTAAGTTTACGAGTTGTAATTAGGACCATTTAATAACAACATTAAACACTGAACAACCAAGTGAATTCAAATATACTAAAATGCCATATTGACCTAATGTGAAAACAAGACCTAAACCAACCTGGAACATAGATTTTTTGTTTCCTTTTTTTGGTCAACTTCAGGCCGCTCCTGACAACCCTTATCTAAGAGGATTACAGGCCACCGGTACTGCTCTTTTTCTGTGATAATGATCTCTACTAATTGCCTTCATAATTCTTGTCATACACTCTGGTCACTTTGGCCAGTGGCTGCCTTCACCTCTCCTTTTCGTTCTGCCATTTTATCCCTCATTTGGAATAGACCTGGCATACATAGATTTTAAATAAACGTTAAATAATTTGAAAAACACCTGTGATGTTAAGTAAATAAATCAGGGTACCTATTTTTCTAAATACTGAAGGGTTCATACCATGTTTTAAACAGGCAAGAGATATTGTTTGTATTCCATTGTCATGTGGTTTGCCCAGGAATTTGCGTGAGGGAACTTAGAGAACATGGATTTTAATTAGATAACTGACATGAGGAGGTTGCGGGGAGGGGGACGCAGCATAGTGGAAGGAGTCCTCATTTGCTGTCTGAGGTTGGTACACATGTTGAACAGGACTGACAGTGACAAACCATCAAGAAACGATGAGTTTCCCTATGCTACTGTAATTAGGTCTTTAGAAGTCAAAGCCATCCAGACATTCATTCAACTACAGATAACATTGATTTGTTTCCCATTTTTAACTGTTTCCCATTTTTACTTTAAATATCTTATATCGGCCACCCTCTTCAGCTTGCCTCTCTGTTCCCTCCATTGCCTGCTGCTTAAACAGCCACGGCTACATAATATATTGCCTGCCTTCGGAGAGCAGGGAATTTGCCATTACAACTTGCACTTGGTTTAGAGACTAATGTTTTGTAGTATTGCTAATTGCATGTCTTCCTCTTCCTCTAGGCTTAAAATTTCTCAAGAATACAGTATAATTATAAAAGCACAGAAAAAGGGCTTATGTCCATGTCTGAAATATCCCTTTGAACGACTGAATCATTAACTTGCTGGCTTGCTTTTGGGCTACAGATTCCCTCCTTTTTCTGGTTCCTGGAGATGACACTTTATTTCTGCTAGGTCAGTTATGCATTTTTGCGTGTTTTTATAATATGCTAAATAAGTATATCTATTTGTTGTGGAATGAAACGTATGTTAGCTAAGTTTTGAATGAGAAGTTTGATGTTGAATTTTATCAACTGTCTTTTGGGTATCTATATGAATGATTGATTTTTTCTCACTTACTCTATTAACCAAGCAATGTACAAAAATAAAAATCCTGATAATAAAACATGGAAAGATAATCAGGAGAGTTGAGCAGGTGTGCAATTGTTATTAATCAGATAAGTCTTCACTGAGAAGGTGACATGTAACTCAAGAATTGAGGAAAGAATATAAACAGGCATGAAATCCTTGAAGCAAGAGCTTGCTTAGTATGTTAAAGGAAGGGCAAAAAACAGCCAAGCTGAAATCAAGTGACCATAATACAGTAATAGAGGCCGGGCGCGGTGGTTCACGCTTGTAATCCCAGCACTTTGGGAGGCCGAGGCAGGCAGATCACGAGGTCAGGAGATCGAGACCATCCTGGCTAACACGGTGAAACCCCGTCTCTACTAAAAATACAAAAATAAATTAGCTGGGTGTGGGGGCGGCGCCTATGGTCCCAGCTACTCGGGAGGCTGAGGCAGGAGAATGGCGTGAACCCAGGAGGCGGATCTTGCAGTGAGCCGGGATCCTGCTACTCACTCCAGCCTGGGAGACAGAGGGAGACTCCGTCTCAAAAAGAAAAAAAAAAAAAAGCAATAGAAAGTGAGGTCACAGAGGTAGGAGATGGAGAGGGTTTTGTCTCTCCAAAAGTGATGTCCATCCGGAACCTCAGAATGTGTCCTTATTTGGAATTATACAACATTTGTCCTTTTGTGTCTGGTTTATTTCACTTTGCATAGCATCTTTAAGGTTCATCAGTGTTGCAGCAGATGTCAGAATTTAATTTATTTTTAATTTTTTCACAGACAATTTTTTAGGTTCATAGCAAAATTGAAAAAAAGGCACAGAGATTTCCCATATACCCCTAGCCTCTACACATGCACAGCCTCCCCTACTATCAATATTCCACACTAGGGTGGTGCGTTTGTTACAACTGATGGACCTTCACTGACTCACCATAATCACCCAAAGTCCACTGTTATATTAGCATTCACTGTTAGTATTGTACATTTTATAGTTTTGGACAATTGTATAATAACATGTGTGCATCACTATACTATCACATACAGGAGAGTTTCACTTCCGGAAAAATCCTCTGTGCTCCAACTGTTGATCTCTCCCTCCTCCCATTTCATTATTTTTAAGGATTAATAATATGCAATACACCACATTTTGTTTATCTATTCATCATTTGATGGGCATTCGAACTGTTTCCACTTCTTGGTTATTATGAATAATGCTGCTGTGAACATTTGTGTATAAGTTTTGTGTGGACCTACTTTTTCATTTCTCTTGGGTATATACTGAGGAGTAGAATTGCTGGGTCTAATCTTAATTGGGTAAGACTCTTTTCCAAAGTGACTGTCATTTTACATTCTCACAAACAATGTATGAGGTTCCCATTTTTTCACATCGTGATTGATACTTGTGTGTTGTTTAAAAATTTTAGCTACCCTAGTGGATTTGACGTGGTTTTTTAAAGTGGTTTTGATTGCATTTCCCTGAGGACTAATGATGTTAAACATCTTTTTATGTGCCTATGACAATTTGCATACCTTCTTTGGAGAGGTTTTGATTGCATTTCCCTGAGGACCAATGATGTTAAACATATGCCTATGGCAATTTGCATACCTATTTTGGAGAAAGTCAATTCAAATCCTTTGTTCAATTTTAAACTGGAAATTTTATCTGTCTGTTGTTGACTTGTAAGAGCTCTTTATGCTTGCTCTAATTGTTTCAGATCATAATGTTATTAATTTTATTTCCTCCAGGGTCAATTCTGCTAATGTTTCATTTTATGTATTA